ATCTCCTACCTACTAACCTCATCCCGCCCCCTTGACCTGTCCGTCCTCCCTGGACTGACCTATCCCCTCTCTAACTCCCCACCTACACTCACCTTTACTGGCTCCATCCCCGCCTCTTTGACCTGTCTGTCTCCTCTCCACCTATCTTCTCCTCTATCCATCTTCTATCCGCCTCCCCCTCTCTCCCTATTTATTTCAGAACCCCTTCCCCTCCCCCATTTCTGATGAAGGGTCTAGGCCCGAAACGTCAGCCTTTCTGCTCCTATGATGCTGCTTGGCCTGCATGGTCCGCAGTGTGTCAACTGACGGATGAAAAGCCATCACTTCATTGGAGAATGTTGGATACCAGGGACTCCAATTTTTCCTGGATCCACTCAATGGGAATTCTGAACTTGACACATAGATACATCATGTCACAGGTACAGCTCAACAATCATCCTACTGCGGGCTTCCCTCACCTCCCACTGTCTCATCGGCACCAAAGTACAGTCGGTAAAGCAATATGATCTCGATCCACCAAAAGTGGTAGACAACGACTGAAGTGACCAGTATCAACAGCGTAACTCCAAAGGCACATCCAAGTTCAACTGCGTAATTAGGAGCTGGTAACAAATGATAAAAGGTTGTTAGAAGGAAAACAAAAGTACAAAAATAACACCTTTAATACCCCCAGAACATCCAGAAGATCTTAATATAATTCAACTAAACCTAATGTGGAAAACAGTAAAAAGATAGGGCGACATGATGGCTCAGTGGTTAGCACTGCTGCCTTACAGCACAGGGACCAGGTTCAATTCCGCCCTCTGGAAACTGTCTGTGGGGAGTCTGCACATTCTCCCTATGTCTGGGTGCTCCAGTTTCCTCCCACAGTCAAAAAATGTGCAGGTTGGATGGATTGGCCATGGGAAATGCAGGGATAGGGTAGGAGATGGGTCTGGGTAGGATGCTCTTCAGAAGGTTGGTATGGACTCGATGGGCCAAATAGACTGTTTCCACACTGTATAGAATCTATAATTACAAACTTTTATTCATTCACCATATGGGCACTGCAGGCTAGGTGAGAATTTATTGCCTGTCCCTAATTATCTAGGGGATACTTTCAGGGTCAATCACATTGTGGTGGGTCTGGAGTCAGACGTAGGCCAGGCCAGGTAAAAGACAGCAATTTCCTTCTGCCTTCTTAATAGCCCTCTGAATAAACTTAAAATTGGTCCTTTGCACATTAGAGCTCATTGTCTAGGACCACTAACACTGTCATCTCTCATCAATTCTCCTAAACTCTATCCTCCATCTCACCACTCCTCTAGCCTCCACTCAGACCTCTCAAAACTCCTCATTGTTTTCAGAGATTGACTTTTTGTCAACTTGAAATGTTAACTTTGTTTCTGTCTCCATGGATGCTGCCAGACCTGTTAAGTACTTTCCGCTCCCATTTCAGATTTCCAAAGTCCATGGTATTTGCTTTTCCACTGAGCAGTTCACACTCCCTTGACTCTCATTCCAATGCCCTTTCTCCCTATCTTCGTTTCTTCAATGAAGTTAGCGATCCTGTGGAATCGCCAACATGGCAGACTCCAATTGATCAGGAAATTTAATATTCTGATGGGTAATTCCCCAGACCTGGAACGTCAAAGTATCAGAGAATTCAGAGGGCTCTGCTGCATTAAGTGAAAGAAGTTACTTAGGAGAAGTTCAACAATTAAAAACCTGAGTCTATATCCCAAGTAACTATTCAACGGATCCCCCCAACAACCTTACAAAACCCAAATCCAGACTGGACAGGACCTCTCTCTCCCCCCAGACCTGACAAAACTTCCCTCAATGCTCGGGCCCTCAGCGTCACATTCCCCACAACCCACCCCCACACCCCCAAACCCCCCCCGCCCCATTCAACACCTCAACCCACCCCTGCATCCAACAACACCTTCTCACCCCAGGAGCCCAACAGTCCCCGTCGATCACAAGATATTCCAAAGCCAACAAAGGATGTGTGAAGTGCAGTCAACAGTCTAAAACGCCTTGACCAATATGCACTCAGCAAGACGGTAAATGAACAAATAACTACTTTTCGTGATATTAGGGTCAGGGTGCCATGGACAACTCTTCTTTTTTCTTGGAAGGAGAGTTATCGGACCTTTTACCTCTACCTGAGCGGGGCAGACAGGATATTGGTGCAGCTTCTGCCTGAAAGATGGCAGTGCAACACTCCATCACTACTGACCTATGGGCAACATGGTAGCTCAGTGGTTGGCACGGTTACCCCACAGCACCAGGGACCCCAACCTTGGGTGACTGTGCAGACTCCATACAGATAGATATTCTCCCAGTGTCTGGTTGGGGTTCCTCCCACAGTCCAAAGACATGCAGGTTAGATGGATTGGCCATGTTAAATTGCCCCTTAGAGTCCAGGGATGTGTAGCCATGGTAGATGCAGGGTTATGGGGATAGGATAGGGCTTGGATCTGGGCAAGACGCTCTTCAGAGGGTTGGTGCAGAGTCAGTGGGCCAAATGGCCCCTTTTCACACTGTAGGAATTCTATTATTATAACTATGTGCTCATGTCCTTGAAATGGAACTTGAATCCATGATCTTGTTTTAGTGGAAAGAGCTTAAAAAGACTACACTAGAAATATTGCAGGCACTGAATCAGATTAAAGCGAGTAGAGAGCTAAGGTTCCCCAGCATGTTTTTAATAAAGGCTGGATACCTTTCCAGGCTAAAGTCACTTGTACACTGGTCAGGCCTTTGCTGTTTTGCCCAAAGCAGGTGTAGTTCCTTTGGAGGTCACTAGAGGTCATGATTTTGATGCTTATTGTGTTTGTAATGACTTTGTCCTTGAGCTTCAATAACTCTTCACTGCAACAAGAGGTGAGAATTAAGTATCCTGGTATTTACCAAGTCTGGGCTTCAGACCTGCTTCCTTTTCCTCTGTATCAAATAAAATATAAACAACACAGGAATGTTGGGTTTTGAACAAGTGGCATGTGTGTTTTGATCCATGTGCATGAGGAGGTTTAATCATCAACTTGTCAGTATTACTGAAGCCACAACTGTAAACCAGTATGTGTCAGAGAACAAACTTTCTTTTGATGTGGTCTTGCTCAAGCTTTCCTACAAAATCAAAACCGAAAGAACTGCAGATGCTGTAAATCAGGAACAAAAACAAAAAAGTTGCTGGAGAAGCTCAGCAGACCCTTCCTCAGGGTCACTGGACCCGAAACATTAACTCGGTTTTTTCCTTCACAGATGCTGCCAGACCTGCTGAGCTTCTCCAGCAACTTTGTTTTTCTTTCCTATAACTTTGTGTCTGTTGACACAGCAATTTGTCACAGTCTGACCACTAGGAGGTGGTGCGGAGCAAGTTGCTGAAATTTCTCTAACAACCCACATACCATCTTGCACAAGAATTTGCGTTGATCGATTTGATCACTGGCAATCTTATTTTTATTCAAAAATGTTGTGCTGAAAATGGTATTGCTTTTTTCAATTTGAACTAAATTTGATGTTTCTACGCAGATGTATTTGCATAAATATTCAATTAAATATTTCCTATTTTTCAGTGCAACAGGAAAGTGTCAATAATTCTTTAGTGTCCGGGAACGTGGTTTCTGAGGAGGGGTCTTATATACAAATAAATGCACTGGATGGAAGCTTTCCTTGGAAGAATCTTGAAGACAAAATGATTAGGACAATTTCTCCCTTCCCACAATGGTATTACTGCCATGTGCCCATTATAAAACCATAAGAAATAGGAATAGGAGTAGGCCATTCAGCTCCTTGAGTCTGCTCTTCAATAGGATCATGGCTGATCTGACAATCTTCACATCTGCTTTCCTGCCCTTTCCCTGTGACCTTTGATTCCTCTACTGATTAAGAATCTATCATAGCCTTAAATATACACAAGGATTCCACCCCCACAGTTTGCCATGGCAAGGAGTTCCAGACTCACCTCTGACAGAAGAAATTCCTCCTTGTCTCAGTCTTAAATTGCCCTTTAATATTGAGGCTGTGTCCTCTGGTTATAGACTGTCCATGAGGAGAAACAGAAGTAACTGTTGCCTCAAAAGTCATGTGCTTGTATTCAGCTAGGAGATTGTAACCTGAACAGCTCAGAGCTTGCTGCTTTTTAGCCTTACCATCACATACAGCCTATTGATGAATGTTGTTCGAAGGTCACCTGGATAACAGCCCTGAACTTGTGTGAAGATTGAAGAATACATTCTAGAGCATAACTTCAAACAACGTAAATCAATGATAACACAGCATTGAGCTGGAGGAACACAGCAGGCCAGGCAGCATCAGAGGAGCAGGAAAGCTGACGTTTCGGGTTGGGACCCTTCTTCAGAATTTCTGAATAAAAAACCTGAGTTAA